AAAAAAAACAGAGACCAAGACCAGCCTGACCAACACGGTGAAACCCCATCTTTACTAAAAATACAAAATACAGCTGGGCATGGTGGCGCACGCCTATAGTCTCAGCTACTTGGGAGGATGAGGCAGAATTGCTTGCACACAGGAGGTGGAGGCTGCAACGAGCCAAGATTGAGCCACTGCACTCCAGCCTGCTGACAGTGAGAGACTTCAAAAAACAAAATCCCTCTCTTTCCGCCATCTTTCCGTGCCACCACAATGGTGCACATGAATGTCCTGGCTGATGCTCTCAAGAGCATCAACAATGCCGAAAACAGAGGCAAATGCCAGGTGCTTATTAGGCCGTGCTCCAAAGTCATCGTCCGGTTTCTCACCGTGATGACGAAGCATGGTTACATTGGCGAATTTGAAATCACTGATGATCACAGAGCTGGGAAAATTGTTGTGAACCTCACAGGCAGGCTAAACAAGTGTGGTGTGATCAGCCCCAGATTTGATGTGCAACTCAAAGATCTAGAAAAATGGCAGAATAATCTGCTTCCGTCCCGCCAGTTTGGTTTCACTGTATTGACAACCTCAGCTGGCATGATGGACCATGAAGAGGCAAGACGAAAACACACAGGAGGGAAAATCCTGGGATTCTTTTTCCAGGGATGTAATACATATATTTACAAAAAAAGTGCCTCATGGAAAAAAAAAAAAAAAAATCAAAAAGAATCCCAGAGAATAAACTTATTGTTAAGATTTAAAAAATGATTTTTACTTTCTAAATTCTTTGTCCTTCTTATCTTCTGATAGATCCCAGAACTGTATAAATTTTACTGAAATATAGGACTTATACTTTCCTATTTCTTCCAAAGGTGACGTTTGTGATACAAACCAACTTTCTTACGAGAAGCCTGCAATGTAAGCGAGCCAGGAATACCTTATTATTCTAACAAGACCTCCCAGATCAGGTCAGGTCTACCCTAAGGTTTTGCAGTATGAGGCCTTCCCAGGGCTCTCTTTGATGTTCCTTCAGTTACCTTATTTGTACAATCATTATGTACTCAAACATTTTCTTTTTCTTTTTTTTTTCTTGAGATGGAGTTTCACTCATGTTACCCAGGCTGGAGTGCAATGGCGCGATCTC